CGTCCTTGCTCCTAGTAGCGATGCCAGGAGCCCCTAGTAGCTTCTTGCTCCTAGTAGCGATGCGAGGAGCGCCTAGTAGCTTCTTGTTCCTAGTAGTGAGGCCAGGAGCCCCTAGTACCGTCCTTGCTCTTAGCAGGGATGCCAGGAGCCCCTAGTAGCGTCTTGTTCCTAGTAGTGAGGCCAGGAGCCTCTAGTAGCGTCCTTGCTCCTAGTAGCGATGCCAGGAGCCCCTAGTAGCTTCTTGTTCCTAGTAGTAAGGTCAGGAGGCCCTAGTAGCGTCCTTGCCCCTAGTAGCGAGGAGCGCCTAGTAGCTTCTTGTTCCTAGTAGTAAGGTAGGGCCCTAGTAGCGTCCCTGCTCCTAGTAGCGATTCCAAGAGCCCCTAGTAGCTTCTTGTTCCTAGTAGTAAGGTAGGAGGCCCTAGTAGCGTCCTTGCTCCTAGCAGCGATGCCAGGAGCCCCCAGTAGCTTCCTATTCCTAGTACCCTTGCTCCTAGCAGCGATGCCAGGAGCCCCTACTTAGTAGCTTCTTGTTCCTAGTAGTAAGGTAGGAGGCCCTAGTCGCGTCCTTGCTCCTGGTAGCGATGCCAGGAGCCCCTAGTAGCTTCTTGTTCCTAGTAGTTCCAAGTAGTAAGGTCAGGAGGCCCTAGTAGCGTCCTTCCTCCTAGTAGCAATGCCAGGAGCCCCTAGTAGCTTCTTGTTCCTAGTAGTAAGGTCAGGAGGCCCTAGTAACGTTCTTGCTCCTAGTAGCTATGCCCTAGTAGCTTCTTGTTCCTAGTAGTAAATCCAGGAGACTAGTAGCAGCCTTGCTCCTAGTAGCGATGCCAGGAGCCCCTAGTAGCTTCTTGTTCCTAGCAGTAAGGCCATGCCAGGAGCCCCTAGCAGCTTCTTGTTCCTGGTAGTATGGCCAGGAGCCCATAGTAGCGTCCTTGCTCCTAGTAGCGATGCCAGGAGCGATTAGCAGCTTTTTGTTCCTAGTAGTAAGGCCAGGAGCCCCTAGTAGCGTCCTTGTTCCTAGTAGCGATGCCAGGAGCCCCTAGCAGCTTCTTGTTCCTAGTAGTAAGGCCAGGGGCCCCTAGTAGCCCTTGCTCCTAGTAGCGATGCCAGGAGCCCCCAGCAGCTTCTTGTTCCCAGTAGTAAGGCCAGGAGCCCCTAGTAGCGTCCTTGCTCCTAGTAGCGATGCCAGGAGCCCCTAGCAGCTTCTTGTTCCTAGTGGTAAGGCCAGGAGCCCCTAGTAGCGTCCTTGCTCCTAGTAGCGATGCCAGGAGCCCCTAGCA